TACTCATTCATAATTTTTGGAGAAGAAATCTTTTATTTAGCTTATACTAGGTAATGTCAGTTAGCTTGTTTTATTCATTTACATAATCATAAGTTTTTACCACATGATTGTGACACCTTTCTTCATTTTTATGCTCAAGTATTTTTTATAGTGTGTTAATTGGCATATTAAAAAAAGAAAATCAACTTTGGTAACATAATTCTTTACATAAAATATGTATTACAATATAACTATAATTTTTATATACTTTCTATAAAAATACAAATATATTTTAACTTAGGTTATAGAATACGGAGTACAAAATAAAAGATTTGTACATGAAAGTAATTACATGGTTTGCACTCATAATTTAAATATGTTTTTTAGAAACATATCAACATATGTAAAAATATATAGGTAATTCTTTTTTTCCAAATTAATTTGATAAATGAAATATTAATGAATTTGATCAATTTCGGGTCTAATCGGTTTCGGGTCTAATCGGTTCCGGGTCTAATCGGTTCCGGGTTTAACCGGGTTCGGGTTTAATCGGGTTCGGGTTTAATCGGGTTCGGGTTTAATCGGTTCGGGTTTAATCGGATTCGGGTCTGAATCGGGTCTGAATACATTCGGTTCGGGTTCGGTTCGGTTCGGATCATTTCGGGTGTTCGGTTCTATTTCGGTTCTTCAGTTTTCGGGTCAAATCGGGTTCGGTTCCGGGTTATTCGGTTCGGGTTATCGGGTCCGGGTCAGTTTTGCCAGGTCTGCTTACAACAACCTGTTTTGTTATTAAAATATTTAGTTCATTTCATTTAATTATTATAATGCACTGCTCCTTATTTTTAACTTAACTTTTCACAGACAAGTTATCTTTGACAAAAAATATATCGTTAAAAATCTCTCATCGAGATCTATACAACGACATCAATATTGAATATAAAATTTCGATATTATCTTTTTCTCGCATTTCTAAGTAAGAAAACTTCAATTTATAAACAATTTTATTTTTGATATTATCTTTTTCTCGCATTTCTAGTGTGAATGCACTGTGATGACTGATATATGCATTATGGTATACTAATTTGTCCTTTAAATTTTATTCAATTTTTATTTTTTCGATTTATGATTAAGTGAATAATGACTCCTGGGTGACTTTATTTGTGACGTGAAAACATGAGAATCCTTTGTATTCAAAAGTGTAATACCAATTTGAGAAATACTTTGCCTGTGCACGATTCGAACCCACATCTATAGTATATACCGCTCTACCATTTGAGCTAATTGGCAATAATATGTTGTTCAAAAACACTCCTATCTTGTACTTTGACATGTTAAAGACGGAATTTATATATAAAATTAATTTGCATCTTTCAATGTTTTTCTAACCTATATCCAGATGTATTATTGAACATTTTAAATGCATCGTCATTTCCTAGACATCACTTTCTAGAATATACAAATGCATCATATTTGTATCAAAAGAATTTCATCATATGATAGATGAATTTTACTTTGATTTTGATAATGCACAATAATTGAATGAATTAACTTTTCCTATATTCTAAGAATGCATAGTCTTATCGTGTAAATGCATTAATTCAATGTTGATAATGCAATATAACAAAAATCTATACTTACTTTGTCATTAAATTTTAACAACGCAAAATATGTTACAATGCACCATGAATTCTCTGTGGTGCATGGCAAGACTATGACTAGTTGTTCCACAGAACTGTTGAAAAATGCACCAATTGAATAAAAATTCCAATGAATAACAACAAACCTTATTCTACTCAACCATCTATAAAATGTGTAGTGAAACTAACAGTGAAGCAAGAAAAATACCAAAAAAGTGCATATTACTTAATAAATGCATATTAAAGAGTCCAAAGTGCTTATTTGGGACACAAAGAGTAAAATATATATTTTGTGCATAACAGATGAAGAAAAGGGTCATGAATGAGGTGAATGTCCAAAAATTTAACAAATAGTATAGATATCTATTCAAGCAAAGATTTGACAGAAACTAAAAATATTCATTTTGTCAACTACTCTCAAACCTGAATTTATATCCATTCAAAAGCAAATAACTGATGCATATTAAGGAACCCATAGTGCATATTCGACACAGAGTGAGAATTACATATTTTAGGATTAAACTACACCATCATTAGATAAGAAAAAATTTAAATTCATACATATATATGCGAAGACTCATCTACACAAAATGAAAGATTTAATATAAAATCGCTACTTATTTTCATTTACTACGTAGAAGCTAAAGATGACAAAGAAATCATGTTCATGAACTGATGCACATACTGAAATTCAGAGTGCATATCTAAGACACAGAATAATCATAATAATATTTGTGACATCAAATTGCTGTTATGAAAAACAAGGGTCAATTGGTAAAACTTGCCTTATGTTTTTTGGTGTCAGTACTAGTGCATTTGGTAAGAAAGAAATATGAAGTGGGGTCTTTTGCCAAAATTAGGGTTCCAACTCAAGTTGAACCAAGCAAAGGGTTAAAGACCATGTTGTTACTAGGTGAGATGCAAACAACATTGTACAGCGTCGTGTCAAGCCCTTTTATGAATCTACAAGCATAGAACATTTTAAATGCATCAATGTTTGTAGAAAATTCACTATGCACAAGATTCAAATGCATCAATGTTTGTAGAAAATTCACTATGCACAAGATTCAAATGCATCATGTTTATGTCAGGAGATGTTTTTCTTGCACCATTTTATTTTTTATGCATACAAAATGATATTTATCTTCAAGTCTTTTATTTTCATAAAAATGAGCTTGTACACAACTAAGGTGATACTTTGCAAAAATTAAAAATGTAGTCTTTGCATATGCGAGATGCACTACTATATAAACGAAATGTACTACTGTGCAAAAATATTAAATGAAAAAAATTTAGCATCACTGATATTAGAAGCTAGAATAAGATTGCACAAAATAAAATCTGAATGCTGGAAGAAAATACAAAAAATGAAATTGACTCAAATTAGAAGGCTAGAAGTGGATTGCACCGAATGTGTTTTTGGGACATTTTATCAAACATTTGGCTTGCAAACATAAACTCAAATGATTGACCACTAATTTTTGAGCCAGCATCTTAATTATTCAAATCAGTTCCTATTACAAAGCAACAGAGGATATCCAATTTAAAAACAATATCCAACAAAGAGATAAGGTGTATAAAGCAGATGCAACAAAAAAACCTCATAGGAACAAATTAACGATGCAACAGGAAAAAAATCCCATTAAAAGAGAAACTCTACACAACATTGAAGGTGAAAACAACCATCTCTCTTAAGAAATTACAAAGTAAAAGAGTAAATAAATTAGGGTATTCATACCTAAAAGTAAATGAAAATCTGGGTGATGTTGAATATAAAAAACATCTTGAGAGCAAAACAAGAAATTGAAGCCTGATATTTCACAGATCTTGTGAAATTTATCAATGAAAATGAGAGAGAGAGAGAGAACCTGGATCGATTTGAGAAGGAAGATGGAACACAGATTTTCTAGAGAGATGAGAATGGAGTATATTGGTAAAATTAGGAGTAAATTCCAGAAATAGATGGGAGAGAGAATATAATGAGATCGGTGAGGCCTTGAAATCCCAAAATACCCTTGAAGATTCAACACAAATAGACGCACGTGATTTCAGATCTAACGGTGGATATTCGTTCTTATTTCTTTCACAAGATCTCATTCTCACGAGAACCTATACACACACACACACACACACACACACACACATATATATACACATATACATACATAGATCTACATACATACATACATACATACATACATAGATATATATATATATATATATATATATATATATATATATATATATATATATATATATATATATATATATATATATATATATATATATATATATATATATATATATATATATATATATATATATATATATATATATAGCTTTTTGATTTGATGCATCGTGCGGCTCAGATTGCATCCTGCACTCAGATTTTGAGATAGTGCATTTTCAAAGGATTTTGGTGCATTTTGACATGATGCATTTTCAAACCATTTTGGTGCACCTAATTTTGATGCAATTGTGACCTTTAGATCTCACAATCTAAAGCACCAGATTCATTCTCATTTCTTTCATAAGATCGCATTCTCACCAGAACCTATATATATATATATATATATATATATATATATATATATATATATATATATATATATATATGGACACACACACAGACACACACTCCCTCATTTATAAATACCTAAAAAAAGTAATTTATAACATTCAAAAAAGAAAGAAAAAGTGAAGCAAACACATTCACACGCATTGAAATACTCAAAAACACCCCACACAAACACACACACAAACCTGGCTCAAATAGTCACAACTCACAACACATAACTAATGCTCAAAGATGCGCACATTTGAATGGAAACAAATAAACACACAACTAAACTTACACTTAATGTAGGAACTTAAAAAGTTTTGAAAACTAGATGTAGTTTTGAAAACCACTCAACACCATATGGTATTAGCATCTAATGGCCAACGGGATTCTTAAAGTAGCTCAATCCTAATTTGGTTTAGATTGTAGAACACAACCCATTTATGAGTTAGAGCTTATCCTTTCAATTACGTAGCCTAAAATGAGTCCATCTGTAATGCCACGACACGGATACCCGAATTTATTCAAATATCCGACTCGCGGTGTTAACGGGTGTAACTTTTTGAATTGGAAAATGGAGCATTAAACAAAACTTTACTTATTTATTGATAATATCGGAGAAACTATTATACATGCGAAAGCTTAACATATTTGTACAAAATATATATTTCAAAATAACATCTTTATTATTATTATCGTTCTTTATATCATCTCGTCCATCCTTCCATCGCCTTAGCATTGTCCTCTGCTTTATTCTGGTTTAACTGGGACTTCAAGTACTTAACGTACAAGACAAGTCCATTATGTAACTGGGACTCCGAGTACTTAACGTACACGACTAGTCCATTATGACGGGCTCGTACAGCAATGGAGGGGTACTGGTTAACCCTGTGGAACCTCGTGAACCGTAGTTCACATATCAGAAATCGTTTATTAATTTTGAGAAATATAATTTGTATCTGTATGTGCCTCATTAACTTTTTTTTTTGAATCCATATTTCTAATTTAACCCTATCATATTTTACTCCATATACGAAATTTAAAAATAATACATAGAGTATTTTATATTTGCTTCAAAGCTATCTTTTTTTTTCTTACTAAAAACTTATTAAAAACATAGAATGTAGAGAAATAGTTTTAGGTATAGAATGTAAAAGAATCTTCTCACTTAGAGTTGGTCATTTTCGGTCACCTTCTCCGACGAGGTAACTTTGTTTTTATGTTCAAAACTCAATTTTGTTCTCCTTTTTATCATCAAGATACTTTTTATAAAACATATATAAATAGTTTGGATGTAAAGATTTGTAGAAAACACGCGTCATCATCTAGACCCATTTTTCGGTCGCCTTCCTTAACGGTGTTCAAAAATTTGTTTCAAAACCTTATTTTCTATTCGCATGCCCTTATATAATCATCATGAATCCTTTTGGGGAATATTTTAGATAATTTGGACGTAACGCATGTTAAAAATAAAAGTCGACGAAGTTCCCGATTATTAGTGACAGAAATTAAATCAATTGATTATATAACAAATATAACATATATTAACGTATTATATTAAGTAATGATTGTTATACGGGCGGCGGCACTCACCTCGGTGTTTGGAAATGGATATATCAATATAAGAATGAACTAGATGAAATTTGATGATTTCTCCTCATGTAACGTACTAACTATCAAACTTAATGTATATATGTTTGTGTTGATAATATGGGTATAGAGGTATATGTATGTGTGTGTGTGTGTGTTTGTGTCTATATATATATATATATATATATATATATATATATATATATATATATATATATATATATATATATATATATATATATATATATATATATATATATATATATATATATATATATATATATATATATAATATAGTATAGAGTATGTATGTTGATGCCACTACATGGACGTATATATATTACGGAGTATTAGTTTCTTAGCCAATGAGGTTTCCTATATAGATAGGATAATCCTTATCTGATGCAAAGTCGGCTAAAATAAGATGAGATCAACTTGTTTTTTTATTTACTTATCTCAATTAGTTTTGTTGTTTTAGTTCAAATTTTATTCCAAGAATATTTTCGCCCTTATTTTAAGGACTAATATATCAAACTGATTTGTGTGATATAATTATTAAATTTATTATTTTAATTTCTAATCTAAACTGGTAAGATCACAAAACAATTATCTTAGTTTTTTTTTTATCAAAAACAACTAGACCGGTTTTTGGGGCATTACAATTCTCCCCTATTTAAGAAATTTCGTACTCGAAATTTTCTTTATTATAAAAGTATGCGGGTATTGAATACGCGTTTGAATTTATTAATGGATAGTATATTTAAAATCAGATAAAATAAACGTACCACTAATGACATCATTTGAGAGGACGTATTCTCGCTTTTTTATTGGTATGTCGATGTAGGTGCTAGTCTTGTTCCCTCGTCGGTAGTTTTATAGACCTTTTGCTTTGCTTTGTCTCTACTGGTTTGGTTGACGGATGTCGTCATGGTTGTTAGTGTTGCTACTGATGGGTTGATTAGACAGTTCTGTCTGAAATGACCCTTTTGACCACATCCCAAACATGCTCCAGTAACATACCAACATTCTCCAGGGTGATGACGATGACAATGAGGACATAGTGGATAAGTATAAGATGGACTACTAATCACAACACTAGATGTGGTCTTAGTCTTTTTATTTTGTGGAAAGTCTATCACTACAAAAAAGGAGGCAATACCAACAGGGGTCAATATGTCGCTAAAGGTTGAATATCTGTCGCTACTTGCTTTTACCGATAGATAACTGTCTGTCGCTAGGCTGTCGCTAAAAACTCCGTCAGTAAAAGTATTACCGACAGATAAAATACAATGTCTCTAAAATAGTGTAATAGCGACAGACCAAAGATGTCGCTAAAAAAGATAGCAGTATCGACAAAACATGTATGTCACTAAAACATGGATTACCGACAAAAAAGAGAGTAGGTAAATCCTTCTTTTCTGTCGGTAATACCTTGTTTTTACCAACATTAACGTTTATTATAACTACCGCTAAAACTTTGATTACCCACAAAAAATTGTGTGAGTAAAATTTTTTTTCTGTTAGTAATAGTTTATTTTGACCAACATTTTCATTTACTATAACTGTTACTAATATCATGTTTCACACCAGCATGCTCTATTTAAGTCATATGAAAGAATTTCATTGACAAATAAAAAGTAATACTTATACTTGTATTAACAACAATGCATAATACGATAGCATTTCAAAGGGTTACAACTAACCCATTTACTGGAAAGTAAACCAACACCTCAAAATTAGTTCATCATTTGAGTACGTTTCAAGCAAACGTATAAACAGTCAAAGTGAACAAAACTAAAATACGCATTGATATGGAAGATATAGTCCAAAGCTTTAATGCTCGTCACTCTTTATATCTTCAAGTTCACTGCCCTCAGCTATGTTGCACGGAAACGCCAGGTAGCATGCCCCGTCTCGGAGACCTTGGACACGCGAAAACGCATCGGAGACGCCTGGAGACGTATCAGAAACTCCAGGTGGCGTTTCTTTAAATTAAAATTTAAATAAATGCTGGGAGACGTCGGGGAAATGCCGGGGAGACGCGTCTCCCTTTTCCGAAACGGCTTGGACGACACGGGAGATGATATAATAGGAAAGAGGAAAAAGTAGGAAAAAAGAAAAAGTTCAAAAAAGAGAGAGAGAGAGAAGAAAAGAGTCCAGAATCGATCATTATCTCTCCTTTAGAGGCGGCTTGCTAGGGTTTTTTTTGTTTTCCCTGTTTTGCTTATTATATATCCACTTCCCTCATTTAATACTATATATATATATATATATATATATATATATATATATATATATATATATATATATATATATATATATATATATATATATATATATATATATATATATATGCCGTCTCCCCGGCATTTCGTCTCCCCATTTTTTCAAAATAGCCGTCTCCGCGTCTCTGTCTCGTCTCCGTTCCCATCTCTGTTTCTATGCTACACAGGCCCTCAGCTTCAACATCTTTGTTCCATATCATGACTTTTCTCAGTGATTGTATTACCATAAATTGTAATGTCATCGATTTCAGATTGATTAGCCGTTGAACTCTATGCAAACAAAATATACTCCCTCCGTCCCACTGTCTTTGTCCACTTATCTTTTGGCACACCATCCAATGCACTTCTTTAATCCATTTTATCTTGTTATTTGTATATTAAAAAATTATAGAAATTATATATTAATAGTCTATATGTTAAGACAAATCAAACAAGATCACGCATGACTACATTTAGGATTACACATTAAGTAACTTTTATTCCTACATTTAGGCTTACACATATAAACTGAATCTAAATTCATAATCAAATCATTTGATATCATGCACATAATGTTCAGTTTAGATAATCAGTAATTATTAAAAATTATTCATCATGCATTATTTTATATTCACATTCAATGTTCATCAGTCATTCATAATAATTGCAATATTCAATTCAGTATTCATCATTCAATATTTACTCATATTCAATATTCAACATTCAACGATATCCTTAAACTATTCTTAGTCTAAAACCAATCACTTTATTATTTGTCAACCCTTAAACGAATTCTAGTTTAAACAATAAAACCATATTCGAATATAAAGTACTCTTAAATAATCCTTAAGCTAGGCCTAGTTTAAGATAAAAGGGTTTTGAAAATCTTAAACTTACCTTCACTTAAGGCCAACCAAAAACCGACAGCGTAGTGTTCACTGTTGGGTGGGTGGTACCCCCAAACGAGTAGGTACTCAAGTTTGGTTCTTGGATCCCGTACGTACGTTTTAACCCTAGCCACCGGGGTTCATACCCGCAAGGCCTAACTTAAATAGGTATATCTTAGAGGTCTTCTAGATACCTTTCAAATCAACATTAATATGAGTATATATTAGAGGTCTTCTAGATACCCTTAACAATACATTTTATTTTCACAATCATCAATATATTCATTATGATTTAATCATTCACAATTATCATTTTTAATCAGAATATTCATCAAGATTCAATCATCATAATAATCAATCAATAATGATTACCATAATCATCAATCATCATAATATTCAATAATAATTAGCGACCTAGCTTCGGGTGTTAACACTCTAACTTACCGTCATGCATCACATAACATTTTTATTTGTTAAAAACATCATTT